AGACAACATCGATTGGATGTGATTTCTCTGTGTGCTCATTTCAGTAAAGAATTCGACTTTCTTCGAATCTCCTCAAGGTTTGTGGGACAATCCAACCAAGAAAAGCACCAACGACTGCGACAAATGGAATTTGGCAGCAGAATAAAATAACAGCTGTAAAAATGCTACCAAGGCAATGTACTGTTGAGGCATGAAGGTTTCCAGAACCACCTCGCGAACCAAAAGTCATCGTAGAAGACGGGATATTTCGTGCTCCAATCGCGTTTCACGCTCGCCTCTTCAAAAACCGAATAGAGCAGAAAAACTTTCTGATCCTAGCAGGATTTTCTCGAACACGTTTTTGGTGTCATTCCTGCAGAGTTTCTTTTGTCAAAGCTTTGAGCTATAAAAACCTTTTGAAACTTTTCTGGGCGCAATTTCTAAAATGCGGAGGTGATGTTGATCTCCGTAAAGCCACAGGATAGCATCTATTTCACTTGGCTCTGAGATGGAACATAAAAAATTTTTTGTGTGTTCGCACTAGCATCCTTACTTGATGCGTTTCGGTTTCGGGTACCATTTTGTGAAGTCCTGTAGACTTTTGTGAGGCCTCGAAATGTTACAACATAGGTCAGCTGCGAGTTGATTTCTTTTTTTACTCTGTTCATCCACCCTAAAACTCCTTCTCCTAGGATTTGAAGCGAATCGTTATGCTATGTGGCTCTTGTGGTTTCCTCGCATCGCTCTCCCCTACCTTCCTTAAGGCACTGTTCACGGTCTGCGACCCTGACGAAACGGCAGCGGTGGGAGAAAAGCAAAAAATAGTCATCGATCGGAGAATCGCCAACCGCTAGTTTCGCCGAACCGCCGCGGTTCGGCGGTTGGGCGAAAAGCAATAGATGTGTATCGATTTCGCTGGCGAAAAACGCCACGGCGATCGAGCTAGCGTTTCGTCGAAGGCGAAAAACGTCGCGGTTTGGCGAAACGCCCGTCGATTCGTATCAAAACCCTTTCGCCCAACCGCCAGTCGATACGTATCGAAAGCTTTTCGCCGAACCGCCGCGTTCCAGAGAAACGCTGGACCGCAGACTGTGAACAATGCCTAAGGCTGCGTATACCGTCGACGTAGCCTGCGTTTTCTGCAACTGGTTCGTGAAGATTATATACGTATCGAAACCGACGAAAGCTGCGTAACCGACGACTTCTTCGCGAAGAATAGATACGTATCGATTCGACGGTTACGCAACTTACGCAGCTTTCGTCGGATCGATACGTATATAATCTTCACGAACTAGTCGCAGAAAACGCAGGTTACGTCGCTTTCGTCGGTTACGTCGACGTTGACGACGACGCACGGTATGAACGCAGCCTTAGCTTAATTCTAGGTACATTATTCAGCATCTGAATCGAGGGGCGTGTCAGTGTGACGTGGATTTGGCACGGTGCCAGCTCGGTCTCTAAAAGCAGTTGCCAGACGAGGCGGGCAATGATT